TTTTGTTTTCTTTAATTGATAATATCAGAGATTAAATTATGGTTGATATAAACCTAAGATATGAGATCTTTTGTCTTACAGCTTTTTTTTTTTTTTTTTTGTAAACTGGGAAATGTTAAATAGTAATTGTAGTCCCATATCAAATTAATCATATAGCTTTCATACAGAAACTCTTCTGTGTGAGCTATAAGTGCCAAATCGGCTGTCATTTGTGTTCATGACCTATATCATAAATAAGCATCTGCTAATGCTTTAGTAGATTCATTAAGACCTGAGTGACACTATTTGTAAATATAAATAGTTGTGAAGCACACGTACCTTTATTGGGGGGACAGAGTTCTGAAAAATATAGAAAACCATTGTTCAGATATGCATATATGTAGCTCAAAAATCCCCAAACGTTTACTGTTGGAGCTGGCAATCTCCTTTCACTATCAAGTATCCTATCAGAAGAACAAACTGAAAATGACTCGTGTTTATGTCGAAGATAAATAGCACCAATATTGGGGGGAAATTTTTCAAAAGCAGGCTTTTGAGCACCATAGTCTAAATGCCAATAAAAATAATTCATGCATAGAAATGCCATTGGTCCTAAATTTGAAGGAAATGGTGACAGTGGTCAAATGTGGGCACGTATGACCAAATGAGCCTTCATAAAGGACGGAGAAGAGAGAAGAATGGAATCCTGAAGATGCGTCCAAGCCACAACTCGGGATCCAACACAACCTTAACTTGGAGGAATACACTATTTAATTGTTATTAAAACATTAGTGAATAAGTGGTTCTGGAGGCCTGAGAATTGTGTGAGGAGCTTACTTTGGCGCTACCTATGTTAATAAAAGTTAGTTGTAAGGACTGCGGGGGGCCTGAGAGATCCCACCCTTCAGCCCTCTGAAACGACTGAAAGGAAATGTAGGTGAGAAATGCAAAATTACTCATTATCTTGGCACTTGGTTTTTATTTTCTTTTACTTTTTAAGCACCACGAAATTTGTTTAGAATATTAAAACATCCTAATTGGGCTCTTTTTTCTTTTTGTTTGCAAATAAGATACATATGAATCGAGAGATAAAAATGGCTCTTGGATTGTCTAGGTTTTGTCTGCATTGTAAATGTCAAAGTTTATTTCTTGAAATGGTTCTTCCTCAACACCGAAGAATTAAGTTTGAATGCAAAGAACTTTCTCATTTTGACGGAGATAACCAGTTTGTGTGTTCCAACCCATAAAAAATTGGGGAAGGAGCAAGAGAAGGTAGATCGATTTTCTTTGAATAATTAGCTTTGAGTCTGAGTCCAGTGAATAGCTTCATGGGTCTTCACGAAATTTAATGTTCACTACAGCAAATTAAAATTTTGTTCAAAAGCGCAAGCAAGACCCTGCCAAGGCTCTACTACATTACTATTTAGCTTCCTTAGATTATGTTAACAGTTCGTTAGTAAAGATCCATTTTAACCATGAAAGAAAAGCAAGCCAGAGAAGCCATTTTCTGTTTCCATGCTGGTCTACATACTTTAATTACCAATTGGCTTTTCCAAATTTTCCTCCTTTATATATTTGTATCTTTCTATGATAGTTAAGACATTTAGTCTTTTAGTCATTTTTAGCTGTTATCGTGGGAGGCCTCAAGTACAAGGTAAGATGCCCTTGAACGTGTGGTTTTAATGGTGTGCCATGTTACTATCAATGGTGATATCAACTACGATATTTAAATTGGTGAGAATGATTTGTAAACATGGAGTTAATGTTGTATAAGTTGTTATAGAATTGCTTCGGTTATTATGCAAGTGTCATCTTGGGGGAGAAGTCAGGAAAATTAGATCTGAATCCATATTTTAGAGTTATAAAATGTGAATCTACATCATAAATGGGCATTAACATTCCGAATCGCCTGGTTTGGAGAATGTTAGCAGCATAGCCATGTTCAATTAGGAAAATGCTAAAAATGCAGAAGTTGCAAGAGCCTTGGAACAGATCTACAGGGAACTATATATGTATGTGTATATTTTATTAAACACCCATCTGCACTATCAGTGTTGCACTAATGTGGAATTTGAAAGACTGTATTGCTGATACTGTATATCTGCATGTCATTCCTGGTTAGATTGTTTTAAAGACAATCTCAAAAATCTAAAGTTTTAAAATAATTCAGTTGGTTTGAAAATATACAGTCATCTTGAAGGAATTGCTATTATACATGAAGTTGCTCAGAGTTGTCTTTATTCTCTTCTTGGTCAAGGTTAACAATTTCTAAATTGCAAATTCACTTAAGAAATAATACATTTACAAAACCATTTTCCATGCATTAAACGAGGGCTACAACAATGTTATGTTTTACAAATACTAGCACTTTTTTTTTTGCTGTTATGTACTTAGTGTTAGAGGGTCAAAATAATCTTTCTGCTTAGCATCTCTTAAACCATACCTGCAAGTATAGCAGGATTATTACATTTACAGTACTTTAATACTTGTATAAACTATGCAGAAATTTTTAATAAAGTGTAATATATTTTATAAGCTAATAAGACTGAATGGGTAAAGGTTTTTAGCATGCATTAGTATACTTGCAAATACTGAAACATTTTGGTAATCTTTCTTACTAAAGATGTGAATGTTTAATGTACCTTCTCTGTTTCTACTCTGTAGTCCAATGGGAATTCAGTAATGACATTTTGTCATGTCAAACTGTGAACATAAATTTGTACTGTACAGTCCTCATATACTATATTCAGTATGCAATATATGTATTATATACTTGTTAATAAAACCATCAGAATATTAAGCGTGATTGTGTGATTATATATGCAGAACTCACTAGGAGCAAAACATAGCACCAGAACATGTAAGAAACCCTACTTAGAAATTTCAAAGTAAATCACACTTTAATAGGCAGTCATTGTTGAGGGAGGGAAAAAAAAACATCTAACTGGAAGGTGCACTAAACGAAGTTAACTTAGCCCAGAAACTTATGTTCCTGTTTTTCTAACAGCAACAGGAAATCTGAGTATAAACCATAAACCTGCAGACAGCTCAGCATAAATATACAAATTCACCTAATGCATTCTTGGAATGTTTGTTTATGACCCTTACCTGCTTCCAGGAAGAATTTTCAGTGCCTAGTATTAAAAGACAGGTATAACATACTTTACATTTTTAAATAAAGTAAAAGATCAGGATTCATAGTTTGGGGAGTTAGACAATCAGAAACGAAGCAGTAATTGCATTAAATAATTAAGGATAAACATTTTTCAGTAAGCCATGTCCGTGGACATTGCTGTGTCTGGAGAATCACAGGAATGAAAGTTTCTGAAGAGGATTTAAGAGTTCTTTTGTTTGAGGCAAACTTTAACAACCTCCTCTGTACCCCTTTCCACCCGCTGAACGTAATTGAAACTAAGATACTGGCTTCTTAGTTCTCAAGCAGCTTCCTTTAGCTCAAGAGTTAATCTTAGCAAAACATGAAATAATGTCTGGCTGGCACTTACCACATGACTCACCTTCACAAGTTGGAGAGTGGAAGGAGGTTGGGAGAAGGTTGAATTCTGCTTTTGCAGCACTCTCCATCAGCCTTTTCAAGGAAACCTGCTTTTATACTAAGTTCACAGCAAGCCTCAAAGGGTATTCTATGTGACTGTTAGGTCCTAATGGAATATTGGCTTGGATTATTCCAGATGATTGGCTATAATCCTCCCCGCATACTTTGTATGTGAGTGAGATGACACTTGCTGAGTTCAAAATGAGACCCAACCCCTAGGAAATAGTATGTTCAAGCTGGATTCTGCTCGGGTGAGTGATCAGGATGGTGACAAATGTAGATTTTATGAGAAACTAAATTTCTTTGAGGAATGGATGAACAAAGAGAATGTTCAGTGGACGCACACACAGAAATCCATAATCATTGCCCAACATTTTAACTGCTGTCAGGTTGCAGAAAAAGATTAGGAAACTTGCTAGGGGCAAGTCATCAATTGCAGTGTGCAGTACAGGAAAGAAGTGGTGTTCTCCGTTCAGGGCAGGGCGGGTTAAGATGGTTGTAAAACCAGATGTATAAGTTAAACTATTAAAGACTAGAGTGACCTGTGGTTTTGCATTCCCTGTGGGCATCCTGAGCAGTCTGGGTCAGGGACAGAAGACAGAAGCTGGATCTTCAGGCTCTTAGGCTGTATCTCCTTCACATCGAACATTTGATGTTTCTTCCTTCTCTCAAGACTCAAGTGTGTTAGCGTTCTCCAGAGGAAACAAAACCAATATTCCTCTGCCCCAGGCCTCTGGGACTGTCCCAGAAGTCCCCTCACTGTCT